ATAAAAAAAAAAAAAAAAAAAAAAAAAAAAAAAAAAAGAAAGGGGGGGGGGGGGGGGGGGAGATTGAGAACTCTAATCATCTCCCACACCCACAACACATACTCTACCCCATGGTTTGAATAATGATAGTTTTTTAAATCTCAATCTCCACATGGTAATTTGTCAGCTGAGAGGTTGAGAAATGTTCAATTATCCCAAAATATAGAATATTTTAAATAAATACCAAATTAAGAATTACAATAATTGCAATTAGTATTCTTAGGCGAATGAGATCCTTATTAGAAATGCCAATCTTATAAATTTAAAGAATTGATTGAGTCAACTCTTTGAAGTAGAGTAGCTCGGATTCAAAAAAAAAATTATTGAATCTTTGTTATAGATTATCGACTCCCTATTTTATGATCACATGTAGTTTTTGTGTGTAATGAATCGTACTATGTAAAAGGGGATGAAAGAACCAATTTTCATCTTCTAGAGTTGCTCTTTCTCGGTGGAGAGAGTAGTTGGCAACGGTGGCAATGGCAATGGCATTGGCCAAGTGGCATGGATATCGGTTTAGCTGAGTGTTGGGTAAGAGGGTGGGGAGAAGAAGATGAACAATTCTCAATCTTTTGTTTTTTTTTTTTTTTTTTGGGTTGACTAACGATCAAATGAATGAATTTCGTCCATATGTCTTCCCATTGCAATCGAGTTGAAAGGTTTGGAATCGTAAGTACAAAAATAAAATGCAAGTCAAGTATAGTTTGCTATAATTTGAAAGATTTAGGATTCCAATTGCAATTCTCTCTTTTTTTATATGGAGTAGTTGATAAGAATTACTAAATGCATGACCTTCCAAGTATGTTGGCACCCACATAGCACCTCATGATTTGCGCACCTCAACATTTTATTAAAAAAATAAAACCAAGTACAAGAGACGCGAGTTTACAATTACTAACCATAGGCTTAATGAATTGAACGAAGACCAGAAGCAAGCCAAGAATAAAGTGCTAGCACAAAGGATAATTAGAAAGACCCAACAAATCACTAGTAACAAGACTTGTGCAAATCCGGGGGATGAAAACTACCACAGTGAAGCCAACAAATGCTGCCAGAGCATCAGCCACTCTGGAGGCATGCTTCAGACTGGTGATAAGAGACACGAGGTTCTTTCCACTAGCAAAGAGGAAATATTCTGATGTGAATTAAAGGGAAGACCGAGTCCTATGGGGCATTACTTTGAGTTTTTATGTTATTTTAATGTTTAGTTTTAGCTGATTGTTTTTTTTTTTTTTTATGTTTCCTAGTCTTCAGTAATTGGTTATTATTCCTAATTTATTTCCTAGTCTTTAGCTTTGATTTTAACAAATGTTGAACGCTTGTATGGCTATATATAGCCAAGCTATGATGAATAAAATACAAGTTGCATTTCTAAAGCATTCTTTATTTGGAGAGAGTCCATTTAACAGAGAGAGTCTATGAAATTTCCCTCTTGGTTGCCAATGTGAAGCTGGTCCAAGAGACTTTTTCTTTATTTTACTGTTATTTGTCATCATTTTTGGTATCAGAGCCAAAAGGTCCCAAGGTTTCTTTGCGAGGGATTCTTCATCAGTCCATGACTGTAACTCGAAGTGGCAATTCCTACACCATGACTACAAACCCAAACCCAAATGCAGCTACCCCAATTGGCGAAACAGTCAATTTCCAGCAACAGGTCACACAGATTACTGTAACTTTGGAGCAGCTTGTACGCCGATTGGATGTAATGGATGAACGATGGGCTCGTGAAGCGTCAAGGGTTCATGAGTGAAGAAGTGCCAGGAGGCAGTGAAGGCGAAGATGAAGCACAGACCATAAAGGGGTTGGATATCACCGAGTTGTGCATGAACGTGACAGAGAAGGTCTTCATCGGCGCCATAATGAACCTGTTGCAGGATATCACCAACAAACCCTTGATGAGTTGACTAGAAGAATGAAGGTCGATATTGTTGATTACCATGGTAAGCTTGAACCCCATTCCTTTCAAGATTGGATGACAGCATTGGAAGATTACTTCGACTGGTTTTCTGTATCAGAGGAGAGAAAGGTCAGATATGCTAAGATGAAATTAAAGGGGTCTGCTTGAGCATGGTGGGAAAGTGTGGAGGAGCAACTTTAGCTGATTGGGAGGAAATGAAATTGAAGTTGAAGGAGAAATACTTGCCTCTAGATTATGAGCAGGTTACTTATGAAGAGCTCATTCTTTTGAAGCAAGGCCCAATGTCAATTAACTAGTACACTGATAAGTTCCATGAGCTTATAGTGAGGAGTCAGGTGGTGGAGAATGACCATCAAGCCATTGCAAGGTATCGGTCTGGGCTGCGATCTGATATTCGAAGAGAACTAGTGAAGCAAAGATTGATAAGCACTAAGGAAGCTTATCAGATGGCATTAAGGATTGAGGCACAAGTTGGAGAAGTTAATTTTTGAAGGTTGAGCATCAAAGAGACACGACTTCCAAAACCTACACTTGTTCGTGCACACGGATCTAGCGTGTAGGGAAGTAGAGATGAAAAGGGGAAGCAAAAAATAGGAGCAGGACCTCAATGCTACAAGCGCAAAGGGTACAGGCATTACGCTGTGGTTTACCCCTCAAAGGAGCAAGGTCAGAAACCAACTTTGATTTGCAGCCAAGAATTACCGGACTTTGAATTAGAAGAGTTATTGCTTGACAAAAAAGATGCTGGCGAAGAGGATGAGGAGGATCATTTGGAAGCTTCTGAACTACCTAGCTATGTAATTCAAAGAGTTTTGACTGGTCAGAAGTTGGAAGATTCAGAGGATTGGCGGAGAACAAACATATTTCACACTCGAATGGAATGTAAAGGAAAGGGAATTAATGTAATTATAGATAATGGGAGTGGAATGAACGTGATCTCAGAAGAAGCAATTGATTGTCTTGGACTAATCAAGCAAAAACACCCACGACCTTACAAAATTAGTTGGGTGAATGATAGTGACACGATCCCAGTAAAGTACAGGTACATGGTTCCATTCTCTTTAGGAAGAAATTACACTGATCAAGCTCTTTGTGATGTGATTCCTATGTCAGTTTGTCATTTATTATTAGGAAGGCCGTGGATTTTTGATCGAAGAACTGTATATGATGGGTTTGAACACACATATGCTTTTAATTTTGGAGGAAAACGGATTGTGCTCAAGCCACTTCAAATTTCAGAGTTTTTTGAAAACAAAAAGGGTGATATAAATGTTCTGACTATGAAACGATTTGAAACCGCAAGCAAGGAGCGAGGAGTAATAATTGTTTTGCTGGGAAGAGAGGCAAAACTTGATAATGAGGAGTTAGATATAGTGCAACCATTGCTAGAGGAATTTGTAGATTTGATGCCAGAAGAGCTGCCACATCAACTTCCGCCTATGAGAGAAATCCAACATGCCATTGACTTGATACTAGGTTCATCCTTACCTAATATTGCCTTTTATAGAATGAGTCCAGCTAAAAATGAAGAGCTTAAAAGGCAAGTATAGGGTTTGCTTGATCGAGGATTCATTAGAGAAAGCATTAGTCCCTGTGCTGTCCCTGTCTTATTAACACCAAAAAAAGATGGAAGTTGGCGGATGTGTGTTGATAGTAGAGCTATAAATAAAATTACCATCAAGTATAGGTTTCCTATTCCTAGACTTGATGTCATATTGGATTTGCTTAGTGGTGCTTCGACTTTTTCAAAGATAGATTTGAGAAGCGGTTATCATCAGATACGGATTAGACTTGGGGACGAATGGAAGACTGCATTTAAGACCAAGGATGGTTTATATGAATGGCTGGTAATGCCTTTTGGATTGACCAACGCACCAAGTACCTTCATGAGGGTTATGACCCATATCTTGAGACCTTATTTAGGTAAATTTGTGGTTGTTTACTTCGATGACATTCTTATTTACAGCAAGGATTCTCAGAACCATTTGGAACATCTTAAGATGGTTTTGGAACTGCTCCGAGTTGAGAAGTTCTATATAAATAAGAAGAAGTGTTCATTCATGACAACAAAGGTGAACTTTTGAGGCTTTGTTATCTCAAACAAAGGTGTGGAGGCTGATCATGAGAAAATTATAGCAGTTGTTGTCTGGCCTACACCAAAGAACATTCATGAAATTCGAAGCTTTCATGGATTGGCAACTTTCTACAGAAGATTCATTCTTAACTTTAGCACTATTATGGCATCCTTAATTGAATGTCTCAAATCCAACCAATTTTGTTGGACTGCGGCAGTAGAGGCAGCATTCCAAGAAATTAAGAATAGAATGACTCAAGCACCAATCTTGAGACTACCTGATTTCAATGTTGTCTTTGAAGTGGCATGTGATGCATCTCATGTGGGAATAGGAGTACTCAGCCAAGAAGGACATCCCATTGCCTTCTTTAGCGAGAAGATGAATGATGCAAAGAAGAGGTATTCTACTTATGATCTTGAATTTTATGCCTTAGTTCAAACATTAAAGCATTGGAGGCCTTATCTTATTCATAGAGAATTTATTTTGTATACTGATCATGATTCTCTAAAGTACATCCATTCTCAAAAGAAACTAAGTGCTAGGCATGCAAGGTGGGTTGATGTCTTAAAACAATATACTTTTGTCATTCGACACAAAAGTGGTGCAGAGAACAGGGTGGCTGATGCGTTGAGTCGCAAAATTTAAATTTTAGTGTCTTCGTCGGTTAATTTTACGGGTTTTGAAGAAGTATTGAACCAGTATGCCACAGATGCTGATTTTGGAACTGTGTCGCAGAATTGTGTGGATGGAATTATGCAAGATGGTGACTTTGCACTTCACAATGGATATTTGTTTAAAGGAACATGATTCTGCATTCCTACAGGATACCTTCGTGAGTTTGTCATAGCTGAATTACATGGAGGTGAACTTTCAGGACACTTTGATCAAGAGAAGACTTATGTCTTAGTTAACGACAGGTTCTACTGGCCAAACCTAAGGCGGGATGTGAAAACAATATTCAGTAGATGTCATGTTTGTCAGTTGAACAAGGGTGGTAAAAACAATACAGGCATCTATACTCCTTTGCCAACACCCAATCAGCCATGGGAAGATCTAAGTTTAGACTTTGTTTTAGGTCTCCCAAAGACACCAAGAAACCATGACTCTATAATGGTAGTGGTGGATAGATTTTCCAAAATGGCATATTTTGTACCCTGCAATAGAACTTTTGATGAGGAATTCATCATTGACCTAAATTGGAATAAACTGATAGAAAATAAATTGGAGCAGCATCCATATGTGCACATCAAGCAAAACTTGTTACAATATTATAGAATAACATAAATTGATCTTTTACAGCAAGAACAAAAAAAGTTAGAGTGAAACTACAAAAATGTATGAATCGATGAAACTATTATAAATCTGCAAACACAATTTCCTTAAAATAGATTTGGCCCCTCACCCTAGGTGTTTGAGGTTAGTTTGGATGCTCAGGATACAACGGATGAACCAGTAGAATCTGAACACTTCAATTTCTACTTTTAGAAAATGAATCTGTATCAAAATATTACCACCAAGACTTAGCTGAAAAATGGAAATTTTTTTAAGAGCTCAAATTGGAAATTATGCAAAGATATGGAGTTGAAAATTCTACAGAGATGTGGAATTGGAACCTGGATTACCATTAATGATGAATAAATTTGTCCATTAACTTAATATTATAATGGCAATAACCATTAGAATTTCCACAGTTTTGGAAGCCAAAAAGTTTGTGGGAAAAAGCAAAAAAATTGCAAAATATGGATACTTCTAAGGGGCCAATTTTTGCTCCGATTGGTCCGACATTCGGGTACGCAGGTCGCGCCTGCACACACGTTCAAAACTTGATGTAGAATTTTGATCCTTGATTTGCACCCCTTATATGCGCACGTAGAGAGAACATCAATGCTATACATGATTACACCATTTCAAAGTGTAGTCATATATAAAGTGGTCATTGCTTTCATTAACTTCCTATGTGGGATTCACTTCAATATAGTTTTCCCTCCAACATAAACCATTTTCCGATGGTCCACTTTGAACTCCAATTTCTCATTCACCCGTTTATCATTTTTGGCAAGTGAATATACGATTTCAATAGCTCACGGAAGAGAACACAGATCAATTTTGATCTTCCAAATTAAACCAATGGGTCCTACCTAAAATTGTGCCAAAATTCAGATCTAAAGTCATCTTTCCAACAAAACTTTACCTCATCATTAGGATGCGTAACACGTTAATGCAAATACTTCTTGTGTGAGCTTCAGTTTTTCTAAATGATTAGAGACATGTTTCGCAGGGTTTAGTGCATTAGATGCTCAAAAGCTTGATGATGCAAAGAAAAGCATAAAACCAAACCATTTCAAAAAGAAAAAGATCCAAGTCTGAAGACAAAAGATGCGGTTGAGTGTAGTGGCAGCTGAATCCATTGATATAGGTGATTTCGTAATTGAGTATGTTGAGAACTTAGTGACGATGCTTTGTGTGAGCAAAGCCTATGGAAGACAAAAGACCAAGGAGGTCTAAACTTTGAAAAGTGAAATTTGCAAGGACTTCTTAATTTATGTGACATTCAAGGGAAATGCTTCAATGTTTCTAAATCATAGCTCTTCTCCTAAATGTAAACTTGAAATATATCAGGTTGACAGGGGGATCCATTCGGAGCTATATCCATTTAAGTAGGAAATAGGAGTGAACAATTTTGAATTGTGTGAAAAAAAAAATAGTGGAATTGTCAAAATTGTTCACAACATGTTACGTGTTCTGTGCAACTTCAGTGCATCAATCTTTTAGACAGTTATACGGACACGCATTTTAAATAAATGACTATTACTCAGAGAGTCCCTTTCTATTAAAAATTTATAAAGACCTTTCCTGAGTTCTTGTTAATTATTGATTATACCTTTTACAGGTTCAAGCTCTTCTAAGAAAAGATCTCTCGAGATGTCATAATTCTTATCATAACTAGTTCGTAGTTTCACCATTTAGGATATAAGCAAGATAATGTCAAGAAAGCCATCACGATGCAGATTAGTTGGCTGAACTCAAAAGAAAATGTTGCATTTGACTCCTTGAATTGGGTTTCTTCTCGCATTATCAAAACTAACGGGTAATTCATTGTTGTAAAATCAGAAGTCAATCAGAGTTTAAGCTGTTATTCATCTCAAGTAAAGTGGACAAAAAGCGCTAGAGGGGCAATGCAAGTTTTTCCAGCAGAGGAGAGAGTTTGGACTTTATGTAAGAACTGGTCCATGGATTGGAATGAACTCGACGAAGATAACGTGATACATAAATATGATGTGGGGGTAGTTCTTGAATTTTATAATGAAAAGATCAAATGAGTCAATGTCTCTCCTTCAGTCAAAATTATTGGTTTCACTCAATATTTCGCTAGCATTTGGACCCAATAAAAATTCGTAAAATCTGAGAAAAGAGATATTTAGATTTTCTCGTCGGGTCCCATCTTAGTATCAAAATAGCCTTGAAAATAATGAAAATTAATTGCAAAATAATGAAAATTAATTGCACAGACTAGATGATGAAGTTAAGTATAGTTGCAGTTTCCAAATACTTGTTAGAATATAGTGGTGTTAATGAAACCAGATTATTGCATACCGTATATGTAGTTTAGATACCGATTTTAAGTGTACCGTATATGTGGCTTACCGTATTTGCAGGCAACTTACCGTATATACTACCTACCGTATTTGCAGCTTACCGTATATGCTGCCTACCGTATATACATTTGACCGTATTTGTACATATTTTCTTTACACTTTTCACATACCGTATTTTCACTTACATCTAGAAATACCGTATATATAACATACATATACCGAATTACATGCCTTCTTCAATGGATTTTAACACTTGAAAGTGATCAAAATGCCCTTAACATGATAGGACTACGATGGGAAATAGCAGCAGTAGCGAATCCAATAACATTTTAAGCTAAATGCCTAAATCACACACACACACACACACACACACACACATATATATATATATATATATTTTTTTTTTTTTCTATTTTTATTTCTAAAATATAAAAACAAGTAAACTGCAAAATATATGAATCTAGTAAATTGTAAACGTGTAAATCGCTAAATAAATAAATAACCTGTAAGAATAAATTGCAAATATGTAAATTACAGAAGATAAATAAATTTTCAATTCGAGTCCTGTGCAAGCACAGTTTCCTTAAAACAGATTCGCTCCTTCACCATAAGTACTTGAGATTTAATCCCAGCGTCTGTTTCCTAAGATAAAGCCATGACAGTAGAATCTGAGCACTGCAGAAACTACTCCGATGAACTGAGTTTGTATTGAACAATATCACCACTAAGACGACGCGTAAAATGCAACAGATTATGTATGCAGACAACACTAATTTGATAGAATATTTTCGTGTGCATGCAATATTCTCATGGTTAGAATTGTTGGAAAATGAGACTTAATATAAGATTAAATCTGCTTATTAACTCCATAGCAATAAACACTAGAGTTGTTTCAATTTCTGGGAGTTTTGACAGTTTTCGAAAACTCAAAGGTTAGTTGAAGAAAACAAAAAATTACAAAACGTGAACACTCCAAACGACCCAATTTTTGCTCCGTTCGATCCGACATTCGTGTACGCACGCCGCCCCCGCACACAAGTTCAAGGTCCGAAGGCAATTTCGGTCCGTGATTTGCACCCTCCTGCGCGCGCACGTGGAGAGAACCTCTTTGCTACACATGATTACACCCTTCCAAAGTGTAATCCTATATAAAGTGGTTCATACTTTCTTCATTTTCCTATATGGGACTAGTTTTATTTCCCACATAAACCATCTTCCAATGGTCATCTTTGAGCTCCAATTTCTCATTCATCCATTTATCAATTTTGGCAAATAAGTATATGGTTTCGATGCTCTCACGGAGGAGAACAAAGATCAACTTCGATCTTCCAAATTTGATCAATGGGTCCCACACAAATTTTATGCCAAAATCATCCACTAGCCCATTTTTTCCAACAATCTCCCACATGAATG